GGACTTAAAGTAACAGATACTTTTTGCATCACCGTATGCACTCGAATGCTTCCTAGCCTTGCGGTTCGAGGCTTACCATCCTTCCTTCTCCATTATCTGTATTTGAAATACAATGCATATACCCTATATGCTGTCTCTTTGCATTTCCACAGGAGCAAGCCTCTACAATGGTCATGTCTAAAAATTAAACCCTAAACCTTGAGTCCTTAAATCCTCCCCGTGAGGGCTTTAGAGAAAAACTTTGAAAAGCCCTAAACCTTAAACCCTTTCAGGGGTTAATGGATTTAATGGTATAGAAACCGAAGGCCTGGGCATGTATACCTTCGGCGCGCCCTACAGCTGGCCCCCCTCCTTCCTCCCCCCCCTGGCCCCCCCTGACCCTTCTGGGCCCGCCTGGCCCCCCCTGCCCCCCTGACCCCCCCCTGACCCCCCCCTGGGCCCCCCCCCCCCCCTGACCGCCCAAGGGCTAGGGTTCTGACTCTAAAGGGTTTGGGGTTCAGGTTTAAATGCCTAAAACTTCAACCGTTAAGGTTTATGCTCTGTGGGTTTAGCTTTAAAAGCCAAAATCTTAAACCCTAAACCCTTAAACCTTAACCCTATCGGGTTTAAAGGTACATCTTAAAGGCTACAGGGTTTAAAGGTTAAGGAGTTAAGTTTAGGCTAATTGCTTAACCCTATTGACCTAAACCCTTGATGGATAGGGCTTTAGAGAATACCCCCCTTTATAAGTCAACTTAATGCTTATAAGCAATATGTTGTGTGACAAAAACTCTTTCAAACCAAGATTAAGTACACTGATTATGTACCAACTCATACATAGTTTAAATGCCTAAACCTTAAACCCTTAAGGTTTCCGCTCGGTCAAAATGCCTAAACCTTGAACCCTAAACCTTTAAACCCTTACCTCATAGGGTTTAAAGGTTAAGGGTTTAGGTTTAATTGCCGGCTTTGGGTTTAGATGCCTGAATCTTAGACCCTAAACCGTTAAACCTTAGCCTTGAGTTGCCGACTTAGTTTAAATGCCTAATTTTTAAACCTCAAGCCATTAAACCTTGACCTTATAGGGTTTACAGGTTAGGGGTTTAGGTTTAATTGCTTAACCCTATAGGGTTTCAGGCTGCTCTTTAAACCCTAAACCCTGTAGTAGCAGACATTCCTTGAATGTCTATATGGTTTAAAGCTCTATGTGTTCTAGTGCCCCCAACTAAAACATGTCAAAGTATTTTTCTCATGTCAGGGGGCCCGGAACCAAGAACCCTCTTGGACCAAGTTTCACCAGTCTGCAGTCGAGAGACCTCGCCGTGGAATGCTTTGGGGGGGGGGGGAAGCTTGAGGGGGACACTGCTTGCGATTTGTCATGTTGGGAGCACGGTTTTCCAAACACTTAAGGGGGACAGTGCTTGCGATTTGTCATTTTGGGAGCTGAATTTACCAGGAACTTAAGGGGGACACTGCTTGCGATGTATCATTTTGGGAGCTCAGCCCCACACCCATTAATAATATTAATAATGGGGGCCCCGCTCGGAAGAATAAGACTGCCCGGGGCCCTCTCGAAACGGCATCTTCCGAGCACCCTCCCCCCCCCACCCCCCATTATTAATAATATGAATAATGGGGGGGGGGGGGGGGGGGGGGGGCGGCCCTGCTCGGGAGATTTCGTTTTAGGAGGTCCGCGGCAAATCTTATTCGGGCCCCCATTATTTTTAATAAAAACAATGGGGGCCCTGCTCGTAAGAAAAAGATTGCCCGGGGCCCTCTCGAAACGGCATCTTTCGAGCACCCCCCACCACCCCCAATGATTATAATATTAGTAATTGGCGGGGGCCCTGCTCGGAAGATTTCGTTTTAGGAGGTCCAGGGCAAATCTTGTTCTTACGAGCAGGGTCCCCATTCTTAATAATGATCTTGTTGGGGCCCCTGCTCGGAAGATTTCGTTTTACGAGGTCGCCGGCAAATCTTATTCTTACGAGCAGGGCCCCCCTTACTAAGAATACTAATAATTGGGGTTGTTTTTGTGTTTTTGAACACTGTGGATGCTTGTTTGTTGCAAGACAAACAAGCATCCACAGCGTCCCTTTCTGAAACCCGAAACCCTGAACCCTGAACCCTGAACCCTGAACCCTGAACCCTGAACCCTGAACCCTGAACCCTGAACCCTGAACCCTGAACCCTGAACCCTGAACCCTGAACCTTGAACCCTGAACCCTGAACCCTGAACCCTGAACCCTGAACCCTGAACCCTGAACCCTGAACCCTGAACCCTGAACCCTGAACCCTGAACCCTGAACCCTGAACCCTGAACCCTGAACCCGAAACCCGAAACCCGAAACCCGAAACCATAAACCCTAAACCCTCGTTTCAGATAGTATTTAAACCTTATAGTCTTCACGGGCAGTGGTCATTTTTCGTGGGCAACGGTCATTTTTCGTGGGCAATGGTTACTTTTTCGTGGGCAACGGTCATTTTTCATGGGCGACGGCATTTTTCATGGGCAATGGTCACTTTTCGTGGGCAATGGTCATTCCACCGCAATCCTCGGAGGAGGAACTTGAACTGTCCGTAAATCGGCAAGGCCGGAATAGCATTGTAAGATTGCGTTGCGAAACAAGGCCTGCCCGTACGCGTAGGCCTATAGTGCGGGAAGTCACAGTGCAAGTCGCGATCTCTTCTACGGGATTTTATGACCTCGATGTGCCTCGCGTCAGGCCAGTTACCTGGCGCCTGCGTCCCCCGCATCCCAGAGTTCCAGCACGTACTGCCCGTTGTGTAGTGCCTCGTCTTGGGAGGCCCTGAGGTCGAAACTAAATCCATGTTCTGTGGGAGAGGACTCTGCATGATTGAACACACTGAATATAAGCTTGTTTTTTCTGCCGCTGTTTCATCCAAGTGAGCAGTGTTGTCGACGTCCTGTGTGCAGCCACGGCGTTTGCTTGCTCTTACCGAATATCTGGGGCATCTTGGCCTTCCGGTCCACAAGCGCAGAGAAGCAATCCAACACCATGGCTTCACTACTGTGGCTGTGAGCGTTCTTCTGTTTCAGGAGGTTGAAGACCCCATCAGTTTTTGTTGCGCCTTGCGTTTGTCGCGTCTCACTTGCGTTCCGGATGTTGCTTGGTGGACACATGAGTGTAGCGTGGGTGCAAAGGCGCGACTCGCGCAGGAACATGCCATCCTGCAACACATATCTGCGTGGGGTAGTGCACGAGCTCGCTGGAAAACCCTGCGCCCTGCGGGTGCTTCTGCGTTCATGAGATCGTTTTTTGCCAGAATCTTACAAGATGCCGCAATGCACACCCAGGCAGCAGGAGCTGGCAGGAGATGGAGGGCTTGTGCTTCATGGACTCCCAGCCCCTCGCATTCCGACCGGCGCCAGCTGCCCCACTCCGTGTACGGCGTTTCATGAAAGTCTCATGGGCATGATTGGCCATGGTCTTGAAGAATTTGGAAGTCATACGCGTTCATCTCGAAAATGCCGCGACGACTCACAAGAACAAGAGGCCGGATTTTGTGTGAGGGGCATGATTTCGTACAAGGTGCTCACAGAGCAGACTCTTAAGAGGCGCCAGGCGTCACACGGCGTCTGCAAACGACCAAGCTGGGGCTGAAGAGAGGCGCCTTGCATTGTGAACTGCTCAACGGCATGACCGTGGCGCAGGACGGTGGTCATGGAAGTCGAAATCCGCTAAGGAGTGTGTAACAACTCACCTGCCGAATGGACTAGCCCCGGCTGGTGCAATTCTCACCACTGAGTAGGAGGGCGCAGAGGTTGTGGTGCAGATCTTGGTGGTAGTCGCAAATATTCAAATGAGAACTTTGAAGGCTGAAGTGGAGAAGGACCGCTCCATGTGAACAGCAATTGGACATGGGTAGTCGATCCTCAGAGAAAGGGATGTTCCGCATGTGTAAGCATTGCTTCCCTCCTCGAAAGGGAATGGGGTTAACCTCCCCAACATACTGTACGGCAACGTGAAAGAATTCGGCCATGCAGGAGAGAGAGCCCTGGGAAGCGCTGGGTTTTCTTTTTAGACCGAGTGCGTTCTCGGCCTTCTTGGGCCCATCTTGAAACCGTGATTTCGCCGGGTTCTTGGACCACCTTTGTTTCCGTGATTTCGCCTTCCTGGTTGGGCCCAACTTGAAACCATGCATGCTTTCGCTCAAACCACGATTTCGCCAGGAGGGGCCTTCTTGGGCCAACTTGAAACCGTGATTTCGCCGGAGGGGCCTTCCTTGGCCCGAACTTGAAACCGTGACCGAGGGGCCTTCTTGGGCCCAAATTGAAACCGGAGGGGCTTTCTTGGGTCCAATTTGAAGCCATGACTTTGGTCATTTTTCGTGGGCAATGGTCATTTTTCGCTGGGCAGTGGTCATTTTTCATGGGCAACGGTCACTTTTCGTGGGCAGTGGTGATTTTTCGTGGTCAATTGGCTATTTTTTTGGGCAATGGTCAGTTTTCGTGGGCAATGGTCATCTTTCGTGGGCAAGTGGTTATTTTTTCGTGTGCAATTGGTTATTTTCGTTGGCAAAAGGCAATGGTCATTTTTTTTTGTGGGCAACGGTCAGAAGGCCAACAGGAAATTTTCACGGGAAATGGTCAAACCCCCCCCCCTTCCGGGAAATGGTCACCCAGCAAAAGGTCAACCCCTTCTCCGGGATCATGGGAAATGGTCATCCCCCCCCGGGTGCGGGAAATGGTCAGGTCGGAGAAGCGATCAAGGGAGATATGTTTCGCCCTTTATGAAGTAATATGTTTGGATGTGGTGGGATTCTTTGGGCGGTGTTGGTCGCTAGACTCTTCACGCTCAAACGGCTGAGCCCCAACCTGACCCCTAAACCCTAAACCCGGAACCCTAAACCGCCCTTAACCCCCCTAAAACACCCCCAAACCACTTTGAGCCCCCTTAAACCCTTTAAACCCCCAATACCCCCCTAAACCCCCCTAAGCCCGAAGCCCGAAACCCGAAACCCTAAACCCTAGGCTTCACACCAACAGCAAAGTGCAGGCCATTCTCCTTGCAAAGCACGAAATCTTCATCCTCAGCTTCTTCTTGAGTCCCCACATCGAGCTTGTAAGAGATGGTGCTCTTCTCAAGTGCCGTGGGCTTTGAGAGCTTGCTGCTGAGTAGCGTCGTCCTGGTGTAAAGCCTCAGGTGACTCACTTCCTGGCGTGCCCGATGCAAAGGCTCCCAGCTGAAGGCTGTAGGAAGTTGTAAGGATAGACCCTGCAGTTTTCAAGGTCGCAGCTTTGCTGAAAGCCACGGCAGACCGCGGAGTGCGGATCTACGTGTTGTTGCGGGAGGCTAAGTCTCTGGGGCATGCACGCGAATGCCAGGGAGGCATGAAACACCGACCTGATCCCGAAAGTTCTGCGGCCGAGGGCATGGAACGGGTACCGATGTGGGGAGATCCGATCAGCAAAGGTTTGTCATCACGGGAAGAGCTGGAAGTTTTAATTCTTGCTCAGAAGCGGGCCTCGCTGAGGTACCAGGAGACTGGGAAGTTCGTCCCCAATGATTCGGCATATGCCCTGACCCTAGCAGAGTGCCACCCCTTGTTGATGAAGATTTGTTCAGTATACGTTCACGGATGATGAGGCCGAGAACGAACTTCAACACAGGAACATCTTCGTCATGCGACACAGGACACCTGCCTTTTCAGCGAAACTTGCTGATATTTGAGAGCTGGGCATGATGGAGGCAGGTCCAGTGCTGCGTGATGCTTGTATGTTGTGAAGGAGCAGATTTGACAGCAACCTGCTATGGACGCATCATGAGAAGGCCTCCAAGCACGGCCATGTGCGGGTGTTGTTCGAGCCTGTCTGTTCCGCATCTGAAGCCAGTCTGTTACCTCGGCTAAGCACATGGAATCATGAGCCTCTGCTGAGACAAAACAGGTAGTTGTCGTTGACCAGCAGCTTGCCATTGTTGGAGGAGAGACCTGCTCACAGTGCCGAAAGGCAGACTAGGCCTGGGAGGATGGGAGGAACGTGAGCTGCAGGACTAGACCTTTGTATTGGGCGCTATGATGCTCGAGCCTCAACGCCTTCCTTCCATCCACAGAGCGCATGTGGCTTGCAACATCATTGAGCAGTGATGCGACAGCACGCTGCCGACTGAAGACAACTTTGGACTGAGGATTGGAGGCATTGCATTTCTGACCCCGCGGCGAGTGTTTGGAAGGGTCAGGACTACTACAACCCACGCATCAAGGAGCCCTTGTGCTTCTACAAAACAAGCTTGAGTGTGCAGGGAGAGCGTTTCCCTAGCTTCAAAGCTGTACATAGCACCAGGATGTCACGGATGGTCGGCTCCAACACGATCTTCTAGATCGCAGGCGACAGGCGCGCCTGCCGTGGCAGGCACAGCCACTGCTGTCTTGGCAGATTTACTGCACGAGCTTGCTGTCGGTACATGTGTCGACCCCTTGCGACCCGAGTAGTTTCACCGGATCTTTGGGTCTTGGAGCCTCAGGCTCTCGCTTGAAATTTCAGAAATTAACTCTGCACCAGGACATCGCCTGCGAGTTGCTCGGCCGTCCAGCGCCGCGTCCTCGGTGAAATGGACAAGTACGAGATGCAGACGGAATGCTCCAGCCCACTCCAGGCGTGACGTTGCAAGGCATTGTGTGGAGCGATGGAATCATGCAAGGTCGGATGGGCTTGATGTGCTTTTGTGTTTAAAAGGGTTATACAGGCTTGCGTGGATGTGTTGTCTTGCTGACCATGTCCGCGCTCGCGCAGGGTAGCGGCTAGTCGTCGCATGCTGTTCATGAGCTGAGCCTGCCAAAAGAGGTGTCCTCTTATGTGCAGCTATCACTCAGGTTGCAACTGGCACCAATATGTACTTAGGCTTAGATTGAATGGGATCTGGCTTTGTCAGAATTGCTCTGTACAGGTGCATCAACTCGCAGCTTTTCTGCAATGTGGCCCGGTTTCGCGTCTCCCCATGGCCATCTGAGCCTATACGGCTTGTGCTTAGGATGTACCATGGCCTTCCCACTGCACTGCTCAAACGGAAGGCGCGGAGCCAAAGCGTTGTCCTGGCAGCACAGGTTAGATTGCATCTTCTGCTGTGGATGTTGGGAGTTGGGAGTAGGCACAGGCAAGGCAAGTGGGCTTGCAAGAGCAGAGGCCATGTGTCTTTACAATATTTGAAGTGTAGGGGGATGCAAGCACCTGGCCATCAGGTTGCCGTGAACAACGATGACATGCTGAAGCTTCCTCACAAGGTGTGAGTTCGAAACATGCTCAAAAACTGGCGTTGAATTCATCTCTCTGCGATCTTCGCTGCACAGGTGAGCGATGCTTCGTGGCCACCGGAGAGAGGCTCCTGGCAGGCCATCCTGTGTTCCCCAAAAGAGCCTCCCATACAGTATTCGACGTTGCAGCCCATACATTGGCTTTTCGTGTTGACAATGGTACGCCTGGTACGCAGTGCCTCCACAGCACGATGGACAGATTGCTGCTAGAAATGCTCCATCAGACGCTTTGTGACCACCTCCCAATTGCATAGCTGAGTGGCATGCGTCACTGCAAAGCAGCCTGCCGTGCGACGTGTGCTCAGTTGTAAGCTCGGCTGCAGAATCAAACTCCTGCATAGGGATCACGAAGGCGGGTCAAGCAGCCATGCGGCAGCTTGGCGACGTTTACGCTCACGATCCTCAATAGCTTTTGTCGCGCTGCATTGCATCTCTTCTGGCCCGAGGCGAAACTGCATTAAAAGCAGGGATGTACTGCCGCTTTTTTTGTACACATGTGTTTTCACATGCCTGCGGCCTTCAAAAGGGTTGATGTTAATTTGTCATGTCCTCCCACTGCCGATGGCCGAAAGGGCCTTAGGGCGCGTCAGGAGTATCCAGGCCTTGGGCTTTCCAGGCCGGTGATGTTGGGAAGCTCATCATGTTGATGACGGGAGTTTTCCTCACAAAAAGCCGGTTCGTTGAATGAACGAAGTGCGGCCATTGCTTTGGTCCTGCTGGCGTGCTTTGGATGGCACCCCGTTATGATGGCGGCTCGTCGACTCGCACACCTTGCTTGGCAACCTTCACAAGTGCTGGTCGGTGGCATTCCGATTTTTCTTGTACGGCTCGCATGCTGTTGCCGCAGGGTCGGGGTGTCCAGTGCAGTGTCGAGAAGCGTGACCGCATCACATCTCGTAGGGTTGGCGAGGCTTTGGCGGGTTTGTGCGTCTTCCGTTAAGCTGGCAGCGATCCGGTAAAATTTAGGAATGGAGTGGCGATCAAAACGCTTCCCGGCACAAATGCTGCTGCTATCCTGAGTTTAGCTTAGGGACCTGACATGCCACGGAGAACAGAACAGATGTCGATGTGGGTTCAGGGAATGATTGCCAAGCTGTCAGCGGTCTTTGAACCGAAGTTCCCAAGACTTCAAAACCTGAGCCCTCGATTCTTTAGCTCCTCAGACTCCCTCGACTCGCTGGACTCTGAGACTCGACCGCAGGCCCCGTTTTGACCCCTGCTGTAGACCCTCTAGAGCTGCTTACCCACGTAGTCCCTCGATTTCCCAGACCCACCGAAAACGTAGAGTTCAGCCTCGGCAGACGTTACTTTTGCATTCAACACAGTCTAGCACATCACAGAACCTGTATGCAAGCGCTTGAGTCTTCGTTTCCCGTCGTTCGCACCTGCTTCGAAGCGGACTTTAGCAGATATGAAATTCAGTGATGTTTGTTTTCGATACTTAGCTCTTTGCAAGGTGTGTGTTTGTCAAGTCGCCAGTGGATCCCAGCTTTTGGTGCCAAGAACACTGTGAGTGCTGACCAGGAATGCAGGGCGCAGGCGGGCTGTGCCTATCCGAACCGTCTGTCGGACATGTTCCTGCAGACTCATGCAAAGGAAATTACGACACGGCAGCATGTTTATGTTCTTTCTGAGTGGAAGCGCAGTAAATGCCGACCCATGAGTTCAGCGCTTGGCGTTGAAGCCTGTAAGACATCTTTCCCGAGGGCGTGTGTAAGATGGATTCGCGCATTCTGCCTGGACGTTCACATCATTGTTGTTGTGAGAACCAGGTGGTACGTTCGGTGGGCCGCTGGAGTGCTGGCACCAAGACGGAGTCCTCCTCGCATCAGGCCGATTCTATTGGGTTCGCACAGGAAAGTGTCGGACCACGCAAGAGTTCTTGTCAAACAGAGCCCAACAACCAACAGCAACACAAGTTGTTTATTCGTATTTTGTGGGTGGCATTTTTCTGTGGTTTGGTGGTCCCTCCCTGGCCTGCTGGTCCCGGGTCCACTGGTACGTAGGAATCGACGGAGAGATGAGGTTGCTTCCGCGTCCAGTGTACCACAGAAATGGGAAGACTGGTCAACTGAAGAGATATGTAGGATTGTACAAACCTATTGCGGCAATCGGCCCAGATTGGCCCGAGCATTGATTGAGTGACATGAGCATTACCCTCGTGTGTTGCGCTTCTTTTTCTTGGTGAGGATGCTGATTGTAAGCTTGGGATTGGTGCCCAGAGTGCCCAGCTTGACACTTTGAATTTCGTACCGGTCTGCCGGTCCTCTGGCCTGCTTCTGCTTTCTGCTCCCCCCTGTCCCCCTGTTTGGATACGTGGACTACATGGAAACCCAACATTATTCGCTTAGCGATTATTGGGACCACATGGACCAGCAAACAGAGGTTCTTTTTGGAACGTATGGACAATCGTTCTCTTTCAACACATAGAGTGTTTGCACCCTACATGTAAAGCACTTCTTGAAGCATGGATGTTTCGAACAGGAAACGGCAAAGGTTTCCCATCAATATACGGAGGAAACCCGAGGTTATTGAAAGTCAGACTCCAAGGGATACCTACATTCAAACGGATGGGGCTGCAACCCACAACGACAAACAATCGCCCTGTTTCTTCACATAAGGGACATGGATCATCCATAAAGATGCAGAGAAAGCAGGTTTGTAGAATGACATGTTGAAATTAAGTAATATTTAGAGATCAGAGAGGTTTCCTATTGAATCTAAGCGAACGGTTGTTCTATTAAGATACCAAAGAAAAGGGTTTCCCATGAACATAGTCGAGGTGTTAATATGAAACCCAGGGAAAGGTCCCCCCCCCCCACCAAAAAAAACACGAAAAAGCAAAGGAAACTCCACCCCTTTAGCGACGATTTGAAACAGCACCTGCAGCACAGGCAGTCGTACTGTGATCCAAGTGAGCCCATGTTCTAGAACTGCGCAGGCTTCGGTTTCGAGCGTTTGCTGTTGAATTTCTACTGTCACGACTCATGTTGTTGTTACTTCTCGTTTACGGTTCAGAAAAATTGTTGAAACCAGTTGTTTTGTTTGTTTCGGAAAACATATTTGGAACACACCTGCCGCTGACAATGGATGCTGCTGTAACGCTTAGTTTTCAACATATTAAGTTTCCGACATCCAACAAGTTTTTGTAGTTTCCTGTGCTTCTGGCTTCTTGAACGCCTGCAAGTCCTGCACGTCTGTCTCACCATCCGCAGGGCTACAGATGCTGTAGCTTGCAGCATATATTACTTACCATCAGCTCCAACTGTGGTGTTAAAGAAAGCAGAGATCATCAAACCAATTCCCGCATAAGAACGTTGCCGCAAAAACGTCTGCGTTGCCACATGCATGCTTCTTAGCATATCAAGTGTACCGTAAGATTATGTTTCTTTTTGATTCTAGGGATGCTGTTTGGGGTCCGTGTTTGCTAGTGCCTGCGATTGCCGAACGCCAGGCATATTGCGATCTGATCCAGGCCTGTCCAGCTGACTTGCTCGGATGCCTGAGCAGAACAGTGCGGGACAGTAACATTGTTGTTTAAGTGGCCGTCGGCTTTGTGGAAGGAGTCGAAACGGTTCATTTACATCGAGAACCAGACGCTTTGCCGCAAGGAGGGTTAGGTTTTGCATCGCAATGGTTCACTTGCACGCACGCGAGCATTTGAAAGTTTAAGCTAGGTGGTCCTTCTTCCTTTTTTTGCATTAACCACGGACAGGCCAGGCTTCCAGTGTTTGGCATGAGTTCGCAGCACTTTGGTGGTTGTCAACCGAGATCAGTCACACCTTCTTTGTTGGGCCTCGGAAGTTTTTGGGGTTTGCTGCCCGTAGACGTTTGTCGACGTAAGTGTTTGTTTCCCATTTGGTTTGGCAACGTTTGGCAACAGATCTTTTGAGGTTCTTCTGCTCGGGGATGGAGGGGGAGGAGTCCATCGGCAACCGCGTGCTGGAGGCACTTGACAGCTCACTCTGAAGGTGTCACGTGTCTTGTAGATTCAAAGAAGAGCTCTCTTTGTGGCCACTGCACAAGTGAGGCGTTGTTTCGTCGCATTGTGGACACCTCAGCTCATGTGAGTGAGCCCGACCAACTCATTTGATAGTACTTTGCAATCATACCTGAATTCCTGCCGAGTACACGCAGTTCAGACTTCAGGGCCGTTTCGCAGGTGAAGGCCGACGAGCAGCGGGAAGTCTTCCACGTCGTCGTCCTCCTGCCGCTGCTGCCAGCACTTGAGGTCCGAGTCAAGCCATGTTTGGGTTTCCAAGTGATAGAAGTGGGACTGTTGTAAACGCCCTGTGGAGGCTCCGCTGTGCCAATCCAATGCCTCCCAGCCGGTCTTCCGGGCCCGTGACCCCAGAAAATCTGCGGGATGTCTCGGATGTACCTCTAGGGTTCGAACAACTCTGGCCCCTGTGCTGGTAGCCAGGTGATGCATGCCCAGTACCAGACATTGCGAGGCCTGCGCAAGGAGCTCCGTGCCCGAGGCTGGGCTGTAGCACATTGTAGCGTTCTTTTCTTGCATTTTGTGTCAACGTGCATGTGCGCCTTCAGGGGTTGATGAGACGAAGTACATCTCTGTCTTCGGCCTCAGGAGAGAGAACAGTGAGCACTGGCTTGGAGTATCTTGGAAGATCTTGCAGCAGCACGCTGCAATGCGACTGCGAAGGACGCATGGGTGGCTGGAAGGCCTCGGCTATGTAACGGAGCAGATCTACATCCACTCAAAGGCGTGGCCTGAAGTTGGACGGTGCATAGCTTGTGTTTGGAGCAACCTGCCAGACTATGGTCGTTGACGATGAGGTGCCATTCCCGACGAGCTTTGCCTTTCGCAACGCACAATGCAATGCAGCAGACTGGTTCTCGAATGGCAGGTGGCGATTGTCGGCAGCTCCAATATCAACGACCGCTCCCTGCTGGGGATGCGAGACTCTGAGGTCAATGTGGTCATCCAGGAGCCTTCCGAAGCCATGGTATTGCTTCGAGTCTTTTTGTCATGATTTCACTTGCTTATTCATATTATTCGTCTTTGCACACAGGGGCCACAGGGGCCACTGCGTGCAGGACACCGCTGCGGCCTTCAGCGGAGCTGGGAGCCTGCGCGGCGGTCCTGCAACGAACCTTCGGAAGGCATGCGGCATTGTTGTTGCCTTCCTTACTTCGAACATTCCCACCCAAAGCCCCAAAGCTGACAATAGACATGCGGGATGAAATTACCGACGCTGCTCAAGAACGATGAGCTTGGTGACTTGCTGTGGCTTGCTGTTCGTCGCACCGTGCTGATCTTTTCCTTGGTGTCTTGGTTGTATTGTGCCTATGCTAGGGCTTGCCTGCTTCTTCGGGTGGCCGCACACTTGGTCCGTGGACTTGGCCACAGCCGGAAGTGGAGAGCTCGACGGGCGGCCTTTAGGCGGCCCAGAGGGCTCCCGCCACACCTGCTGAAGGGCCTGCGTATGGTGCGAATGTTGGCCAAGGGGCTTCTTGGAGGCGCCATTCCTTCCATTCCAAGGGCGGTGTGCTTTGAACCTGCCTTTGGGCAAGCACGGGCTGCTGCTTTGCTTTGCTAGCAGCGGCTTTCTTGGAAGGGGTATGGTATCCTGTTGGGCCTTTCCGTGCAGGTTCTGGGCAGCTCCCGTCGGACACCTCAACTCAAGTTTCACAAGGGTGCGCCTGCAGACCGGCTAGCCGCCCGGTGACAAAACCTTCTTCCGTAGCGCGTCTGAATGAGCTGTCAAAACCCATGAATCCTGCAGCAACGGCTGCGAGCCGAAGCGAGTCCGCTTCCAGCGGCATCACTACTTGCAACGTTTCGCAGGCTACCAAAAGCAGGAGTGGCTCCCACCGGCGATTGCTGCCGATCTGCTCACTCCACTGTCAGGTGCCTCGCGCAGTTAGGGGTGACAGGGGAGGGTCCATCAGGTGCTGGCTTTTGTCCCCCATGCCCAAATTTTTCAGGGTGTGTGTGTGTGTGTGTGTGTCAGGTACCAGGTGCTCCTTCCGTCAGGTACCATACTCCCATTGAGGGTTAGCAAAAGCTGACAGGTTGGTGGGGCCGCCGCTCGTCAGGTACCTTTCTCCAGGTACCCCCGCATTTGTCAGGATTCGCTCATAGGTACTCGCCTGGACAAGTTGGAGGGTCCGCCGTCAGGGACAAAAGTCATTGGTCGGAGGCTGGTTCGAGAGTCCGCTCGCCATCGACCACCGCCCGTCAAGTACTATCAATGCCCATGTCAAGTACTCTGCCCGTCAAGTGCTTTTCGGAGGCTCATAGTAGAGGCAGGCTACGTGAACAGCCTTCGTTCTTGCGTTCGTTCTTGCGCTTGCAATTCAACCAACATGCTTGCGGCATGTTGTCTCTTGAACAGCCTTCAATCTCGTTCCTGCGCTCTCATTCCGGTCAACATGTTTGCAACATGTATGTTGTTTCCTACTGGGTCAAGTTTGCGATACAAGATGTGAGGTGCCAGTGCCAGATGTGAAGCATGACCGCAGGTTGCCCCTGCCTGGCAGCTTGCAAGCTTGGAGTGCCAAAAAGATTTTTCGAGCCTCAGCCTTTGCCAACGTGTTCCTCAATTCCCTAATTCCCTTGTGATCTTGACTCCTGCTGATAGTAGTGTGCGCCTTGTGCCTGGATGTGCAATGCTCAGCCGCCTGTTGTCCCGGTAGATGATGCTGCCTTGGGATGATCAGGGTACCAAAGTCGCCCAACTGGACTGCTTCTGGTGCGCTTTGCGCCACCCCAAGACGGTAAATGCTCGAACTTCATTTCGGCCGAGATGGAGGTGGCGTGATAGGTGCTTGGGATCTGCCAGGATGGAACCTGTGTGTTTGGCTCCACGCTCGCCTGCTAGGGCGTCCTTGTGTTCTTATTTGTTATGCAGTCGGGTATTGGAGATCTGCAGCCTCACCTCCACGGAAGTGAATGAATGAGTTGCAGGCGTTTTGCGGGAGCCCGCGTTCGAATCTGCCGAACGTTTTTTTGTTGGTCTGCAGTCCCGTGGTGTGCTTTCGCACAGAACCGCGCAGCAAAAAAGCTGAGAACAGAACAGAATTCCGCAAAGCGCGACCTTCAAATATCTCCGCCGAGATGCAAGGGTCTACATCCTTGGAGTGCCCCCCTGTGCCCCCCCGTGCCCCCCCCCCCCCCCCCCCCCCCTCAGGAAAAAAGACATAAAGAGCCCCCAAACCCCAACGCCGTAACCCACAAAGTATCTCTGCAGCGCAACTTTTTTCTGTTTTTCCACGTTTCTCTCCGCCATGAATCGTCCCAGATGCAGTAGCATTGATGAAGCGGGGCAGGGAGGTCAAGTGCGCATCCACTTCCCGATCCAATGCGCATGTTCACGTGTATTTATCACGAATGTTTACAGCTTCAGGTTTGCGAGTTTTTTAGCTTAAGTTCTCTTTGCCGGCGTTTGTTAGCTTGGTTTGGGGCTCACAGTTTTGGGTTCGGTGAGAGTTTTCAGGGTTTAGGGATTCGGGTTCAGCATCTCAAGTTCAAAACTCATGAGGCCGCAATTGCATTCGTGTAACGCACACATACCCACCCACCCAATGAATTGTGGTCATTTGCTGGCCGTGGGATGGGATGGGATGGGATGGGATGGGATGGACTTTGTGGATACTGTGGAATAAGCTCCGCAACATTCTCTTCGGGTTTCTCCACGGGTGATGGTATCCCAGGGTACCCTGCAGAATTCTGTGCGCGAACAGGCCATGTGTAGGGATGCTGTGCACTTTGTTTGTGAGGGCTGGGGTGGTTTCTGGCAGATAGGCATCGAAGATGGCAAAAAAACATGCGTTACTCACAAATGTCGCAGGCACTTTTCGCCCAGCACATGGGGTTGACGCGGGAGCATCTCGAATCTGCCACGCCCCCAGCGGAGGCGTGTGTACGGATGTGCGCGATGTCGGTCAGAGGGTAAGTAGGAGTCACCGTATCCGGGCTGATAGATGAAGGTCTATCCGAATCCTGCCAGCGAGGCGGGCAACTCGACATTGGCTCCTTGTTGCCAAATGTGAGGCTTCGCATGGGGGGGGGGCACCAAGGCATGTGTGGCCGAGATGCGGAGAGTGGCCCAGCAAAACACTTCGGTTTACGAGGACCAAGCGGCTGCATGTGTGACCGACGGCACTTGGCATGCTCATTCCAGTGACGGTTCTTCTGGAAGATAAGCAAGTTCTTGATCTTGCACTATCATTTGCATTTGTTGATTTTTTGTTCAGTTGTTATTGCCTCTCAATTTGGTGTGACAGCAGGAACTCTTCGGCGCATTGCCTTCGGATGCTGTGGGCACCTGGGGAGAGCTAGCAGCCCGGCGGCGGCAGGTGCTCGGATGTGCTTGGGGCTGGCGGGGTATAAGTTGGAGGGATAAAGACAATATATATATGTATAAATATGTATATGTATATATATATATATATTGAGCATATAGATATATATATATATATATATATATATATCGTACCCCCCCCCCCCCCCCCCCCCCCGAAAGATCTACCGTTTCCCACCTTTTTTTCAACAATGAAACAAAATCCGTCTGCTTCATAGTGAATTTCGAAATGCAATAAAATCCGTCTGCCTCACAATGATAATGCCCACGACGCCATTCAGAACTCTCTTCAAAGATTTCGAAAGCCGGCCGTTTCAATTGAAACGTTTCCGTTTCAATTCAAACGGCCGGGATCCAAGATCCAAGATCCAAGATTTCCCAGGACTCTTGCCGAGGCATCTTGGAATCCCATATCTTGGATTCTGCCCGTTTCAATTGACATGTTTCCGTTTCAATTGAAATGGCCGGTTTTGGATTTAGGATTCCAAGATGTCCTGGCAAGAGTCCTGGGAAAACTTGGATCTTGGATCTTGAATCCCGGCAGTTTCAATTGAAACGGAAACGTTTCAATTGAAACGCCCGGTTTTCGAGATCTAGGATTCCAAGATGCCTCAGCAAGAGTTCTGGGAAATCTTAGATCTTGGATCTTGGGAAACGGAACGTTTCAATTGTTGAACTTCAAAACTCCGGGTTCCAGGATTCAAGATCCCGTGGAAACCTTTCCTGCAATCTTGAATCTTGAATCTTGGATCCCGGAGTTTTGAAGCTAAAACTCTAGATTGAAGTTCAAAACTCACGGAACCCCATAGGGCTAAGGTTTGAAGGTTTAGGGCTTCAGGTTGAGGCATTAGAACCTGAGCCGGCAATTAAAACTAAACCCTTAACCTTTAAACCCTATAGGGCTAAGGTTTTAAGGTTTAGGGTTTACGATTTAGGCATTAATCCCTGAGCCGGTAGTTCAGCCTAAACTCTCGACCTTTAAACCCTATAGGGTTAAGGTTTCAAGGCTTTAGGGCTCAAGATTTAGTCATTTAAAGCTAAGCCCATGGAGTTTAAACCTCAAGGGTTTAAGGTTTAGGTATGAAAACATGAACCCTAAACCCTCTGGGTGTTCAGCCCACAGGCGCTGAAGGTATAAATGCCCAGACCTTGGGTGCATCAGGTTTAGGCATTGAAACCTTGAAGCCCTATAAGGGTTTTTAAAGGTTTAAGGTCTGGGGATTGAGACCTAGGTTTGGGCATTCAAACTGGTTTAAGCCTTCATCCCTGTAGGGTTAGGTATTTAAACCGAATAGCTTACCTTGAAACGCTATAGGTTTAAAGGTTGAGGTTCAAAACCTTTAAGCCTCTAGGGTTTAAAGGTTTAGGTTTTGCAGAGTTTGTCTACCCTATTCGGGGTAGCCCTTTAGGGTTAAAAGGTTCAGGGTTTAAGGTTTAGGGCATTGCAACAACCCAACCCTAAACCCTCAGGGATTGAACCCCTTTACTGTTATCCTTAAGCCTTAAAGCATATAGGGTTTAGGGTTAGAACGCTGAAGAACCCTCACGGATGTAACCCCTGTACTGCTTTCCTTAAGGCTGAAAGCATAGACGGTTTAGGGTTATAACGCTGAAGAACCCTCAGGGGTTTAACCCCTTTACTGTTTTCCTTGAGCCTTAAGGCATATAGGGTGTAGGGTTATCACGCTGAAGGTATAAATGCCCAGACCTTAGGTACATCAGGCTTAGGCATTAAAACCTTTAAGCCCTTTAAGGTTGTTAAAGGTTTAAGGTCAAGCCTTAAACCCTAGAGGGCCCTATAGGGTTACGGTTTTTTCAAGGTTTATCAACCCTAAACGCTATGATGGGTTAAAGGTTTAGGGTTTAAGGTTCAGGGCATTGCAAAAACATAACCCTAAACCCTCAGGGATTTAACCACTTTACTGTTTTCCTTAAGCCTTCAGGCATATAGAGTTTAGGGTTATAACGCTAAAATCTATAGGATTAGCACCTTATACCCCTATACATTGTAGGCCTTGAGGCCTAAATCCTAACCGTAAATCCCATAGAGCTCTGCCTATGTTTGCAGGCCTCGCCTCCTGTGGAAATGCAAAGGAAAAGTAGAATAAGTACCCACTGCATGTATGTATGTAGGGTATATGTATTGCATATGAAATACAGATAATGGAGATCCTCGAACCATAAGACTAGGAAGTATTCGAGTGCAAAAGGTGATGAGGAAAAATCATGTACTGTAAGCCCCGGGGACGCGAGAATACTGTGAGCAAAGACCTTTTCACTATTTCCCTCTTAATTGCCGGTTCGGTGTCTTGGGTTGGTGCAGGATCGGTTAGCTATTGTTGCGAGGGACTAGATCGGAAGGGATTCTGGATAGAAAAAAGCATTTAAAAAGGGTAGATCTCTGGGGGGGAAGCATATATATGTATATATACATATATATATATATGTATATGAGAGACGACTGTAACTTGCATTGTTTTTTGGACAGGTGCAGCCGGCGCTAAACGCAGACTTCAGCAGGCCTGGACAAGACTGCATGTCAAGTTCCTTAATGAATACACGCAGCCTTGTCATTTCATGCCCTCAGGATACCCGATGCGCAGATCGCTGAAGAAGCTCTCAAGAAAGTGCAGGGATACTTGGCGCCGTGCCAAGAGCAACTTCAACGAAGGGTTGGCACCTGGTGGGATATAAAGTCAGAACCTCGCATGTGAGTCGGTCCATTCATGCTTTTGGCATCGCCCAAGGTCCAATTTCCTTTAGATTTCCTGGCCAAGGAGGACATATCAGTGCCATGCGTGGGAACAACTTTATCCGGCCTTTGGTGACCCAATCGACATCCACCCGTCAAGTGAACGGCACATTTCCCATCAGCAGTTGCGGCTCATAGGAGATCCTGCCGATTGCATTTCATGGCCCGAAGCTTTCAATCCACAGGACTTGACGCCTTCCGTGGTGGGCGGCCTTCTTGGCCCTGTTTTCACATAAGGCCTGGAATGCCAGGTTCGGGGGTGATTTGGGTTCAGCACACTTTCTTGGTGCCAGAGTCGATCTGCTACAGTAGAATCACTGCCGCCGACGCAGGGTCAAAAGTCCAGAACGAGACATGGTGAGGGTTTTGGGCATTGTCCTGAGCCAACTTCTACCCAAAATGGGTTTTACAATATTTGTACTGACAGGTGCGCCTCGTAGCCAAGGGGTGAGGTGGCGTCTGCCAAATTGTTGTCCTGTGAGTGAATCACATCCAGCATCAGTTTGTGATGCTTTTAAGTCGGGTGCTCGTGACTATAATGACTATACCATCTTTCGGCACACAGTATGAAAAACGAGTACTGGGAGCTGACAAGCACTTGATGCCATGCCTGCGTGGCGTCCCTTTTCACTCCAGTGAGGGCAGAGCAAAGGTTTGAAGCCTTGAGGGTCAACAGCCTGCTTGTGAAGGGGGGGCAACCCTGAAGCCTTCTGATGTTCCATGAGATTGCCACAGCTCCATGGAATGTTTGCACCAACTGCCATGAGCCAAAGACTGTCATCCAAATTCTCGGTGAAGTGTGTTTGTTGAACCCTTTCCATCACCTAGGTAGAACAACGCTCTCCACAATTCCATGATTGCTGAGAATCTGGAATTTGTCAGCCATGGCGTCCTTGGAGCAAACATAAGTTAGGCCGGAATATTTGGCGAGAACCGAAAAAAGAATATTGAGTAAATGTATTTCATATGATTGATATTTATATGGATTTCGCCGAATTTAATGGACTTCGAACATTTTTTCTTCATGAAATTTGGAAAAAATTCCTTTATAAACGCCGCATTCATATTTAAGAATTCGAAC